ATTAGATAGTAAAGTTACCGTATCATCTATACAGAAGCCTTTTGCCCATGTGATCAAAGTTCCAGAGTCAATGGATGTTTGCATTACAGGGAATGAAAATGTAAATCCGAGCTCCCTTTCTCTACCAGAAGGTAGGCTAAACTCTTGACCTTCTTGGGCAACAAATTTCGCAAGTTCACTTGCAATGTAACCAAAAAGATCCTGCCATCCATAGCTATTTGTCAGTATGGATAAATCTAACAAATTAATAGTATCAAAATGTGACATACAACAGTTACAGAATCACACACATCTGACGTTCCAATCATCAATTCCATAGGGATTGGAACTTCTGCGAATTCCTGGTGCTTAATACCACCACCCTTGCCACCCAACTGAACCCGAAGAACACGAAAATTAGTTCCACCAAGGTCCAATGCATAGAATAGACCCTCCTCATCCCTGATTGCACCGAGGGAAAAAGGCAACACAGGATAAGAACAAAGCTCTAGAAATAAACTTAAAACATTCAGTCATCAAAGATACTTGTAAAATTAGCCACTTCCATAAAACTTGAATTTCCTGGCACCTAATTCACAGTAAAATGCAAACTAGCTTTAAATTCTCTAGAATTCATTTTAATCCTAATTCTTCATGGTTCAGTCTGTTGAAGTCTTTTAAATATTAAATAACCCAGTAACTCATTTACTACCAAAGCAAGACACTTTCACCATACACACAATTACAAAAATCATACTTCGATAAGACTAACATTATCACAATCAACCAAAATGATGATATTATAATATCATGTGGGATTGGTACCCATGATCTGTTATAATATCCCATCTACATCAACACCCTTGTAACTCTATACACAACAAAATGAATAATAATCAATATGAGCAGATGGCAACTAGTTTAATTACTGGTTGTTCGGTTGACATTTAAAAACAAGACAGATGAGACATTGAGACTACCTTGGGATCACAAGGTAGGTGAGTTGTTTGGTTGAAATAAATTTGGGGAATAGGGAATGGAGCTTCTTGTGAATTTCCACTTCCCATAGTAGGCAGGAATTCACTCACCTATACTATACCAGTATCACCCCCCCCCCCCAAAGTAAGAAAGCTAGCTAAATTCCGTCTACATCATTGCCCTTGTGTCTCCGCGCACAACTAAAAATTAACTAAACATCTAAAAAAATAGCTCATAAGTAATAATGTGATTCAATCATGACCAAATAACAAGAACAGGAGCAAAATTTTCCATCAAATTACATTTTCAAATCAACCTTATTATTGAATAACTAGCAATTCATTAAAAATGTTGCAGAATTACCCAGTAGGAAGATTATCAACATAACTAACAAGCATCTTCACACGACCAGCAGTATCAGAAGCAAGTCCAGCATTCATTTCCTTAATCAAAGCATCAGTCACTTGCTTCAATTTCTCAACTGGGGTCCCACATTTCTCCTCAAATTCCCTCAAAATTTCAATCGTACGTCTCCAATTCGCCCCCTTTTTCATCCGACGGCTCAAAATCAACCCCCCTGCCGCCGCACAAACCGCCGCAACTCCCACCACCGCAGCCACAACCACCACTTTACCCATCTTCGCCAAAATCCCAGATACCCAATTATCTAATTATCTCAAAGATTCTGAAATGAAAACACTCAGAATTTACCCAATTATGTACTATCTAATCTTAAAAACTCTGAAATTTAAACACCCAGAATTTAGAATTTCAAGAGAATAACACCCATAACCCCACCAATCCAAAAAAATCCAATTTTTTTTGGAAAGAGTGAAGATATGATATTATTCTGGAATTATTAAAGGAAGTTTTTAATGAAAAATTGAAGGTGATTGGTCCGTCAGAAAAAGGAAAGATAGTGATTGGAGAGAAGAATGATTTGGATCTTTGCTTGACTTTGAGGATTGCTCTTATTACCTGCTTTATTTTCTTGCACAATTGGGTAACTTAGTTCAATGCCAGAGGACAACCCATACAATTTGGTGAGGAATCAACGATAGTAATAAGACTATTAACAAATTCTAATCTTGTTATTAGAGATTTTGAGTAAGAGTAAGATTAAATGGTTACTTGTTAGTTATCCAACTCAATAACATGAGTTATATGACTTATATCACATGTGTTACATGAGTTTATTTTTTTGTGACTTTTTAAAGATTCGTTTATACTTTTGACTTTTATTTATGTTGTATTTTTATTTTTATTTTTGTTACTTAGATTATGTGATAAAAAAATGGCAACTTGTGAATATGAAAATCAGTGTTTAGTCCGGGTGTTGCACCAGTTGTTACTTTAAGTAGACCTTGTGATTATCAATTATATACATTTATTTTCATGTTTATAACATAGCTTATGATTGGCTTAGATGGTTAAGTAACTATCTTTCTTCTAAAAGGTTGGGTGTTCGAATCCCCAAATTTAGCTAGATGGAGTCATACTAACTGAAGGGTACCGACACCACTAGTGAAGTTTCCTCCCCTCCCCAATCTCCACCCACCTTCCACCGCCAAATTAAACGAAAAAAATTAGGGCATGGTCAACCCCAAAGGGTAAAGATGGCCATGTGCTCCATTGATCATTGAAGCTAATGGAAGAAGAATACATTTTTAATGGAAGATGGAGGAAGGAGATTGTTAATTGTGTTTGCTGACGAAGTAGTCTAACGTGGCATTAGTCCCAATCATGCCTGGTAAATGTACCACAATACGTCAATACCCATCACTTAATGGAGGAAATGTCATTAATACCTCCTCAAGTGAAAATGTTTATCATGTTGATCAACTTGAATTTCCTCGTAAATGTGTTCTAATAGTTGCATTACTTCTATACAAGTATCATATATCATTTTTTGTGATCATTTAGTCTCTCAATCTATGAATTCTAACAATAGTTTACAAGTAACATTCAATTTTTGTCAAAAAAAAAAAAAAAAAAAAAAAAAGCATTCAATTTTTGATACTTTTTATATGGTTGCATGTTTTATGTTACTACTAGTATGATCAAAGTTCTACATGTAATTTCATATATCAAATTTAAAGTGAAACAATTTTTTTTTAACACAAAAACAAGATTCATATATTACTGCCCAAGGCGTAAAACATCCATTACAACAAAAGCATTACTCTTCCCATCATAACCAAAAGGAACCCAAAATATGGTACTAATGGAAGAGTAATAAAAGAAAGACTTATTACAAAGGTGAACTAATAAGACAACACTAGGAAAGAAACTATAATACAAACTGGTAGTAGAGCAACTACAGCAAAAGCAATGAAGCGCAACACAAGAAGACATCCAGCACCGCGACAGGAGAACACCAAAGAGACTACCCTGAAGAGGTGGAAGATCAGCATCATTGATCTGCTTAGCAAAAGGAGGAACCAAGAGTTTAGTAAAGATAGTACTAGAACAATTAGATGAATGAAAAGAGTACTAGTACAATATTTAATCATAATAAAGCTATTAAGGACTATGACAAAAAATGAAAAGCAAGAGATTAAAAAGGATAATTAGAATAGTGAAGATCAGCTTATTGTCGTTTTGGAGTTGTCATTGATGTTTTATACTCGTTGTAAAATATAAAATGGATAAAAAAAATATATATATATATATAAGGTCTCGTTTTGTTGTATATGGAAATTAAATGACTATAAGAAGTTACAATTCATGGAAAATTTTATTGCCTAGGAAATATCTGAAATTGTGTTTGGTTGACATATAAGAAATCGTATTTCCCATGTTTAGTTTTCTATGTTTTGTTTGGTTAACTTATGTAATACCAGTGTGGCAGTGTATTATTATAACTTGACCTACTTTTCCAAAATTTTAAGGATAATAATGTAATTTCACCCAAAATACATGTGGGAAGTTTGAGTGATCAAGGTAGGATGTGGGAAATAAGTTCCCATGTTTTGTAGGAATTCCAAATTCCTTTGGAATTTTCACTTCCTACATTTTTGCTAACAAACAACTACTCTTAAACATATTTTTCATGAATTTATATTTCTCCCATTATTGAAGTGCAACCAAAGAAGGCCTAATTGATGAAATTAAATCATCATCCTACCCACAAATGCTTTTTTGTTGTAAAATTTTAATTAGTAGAATCTTAATCACCCACAAATGCTTTTTTGTTGTCAAATTTTCACAAGTAGAATTTTAGGGTCTGTTCTCTTACGTTGAAATTTAGTTCATTTCAGCTCAGTTCATCTCAGTGCAGCTCCTAATTTCCTTCTCTTATAAAAATATTCATTTCATTTCAGTTCAATTCAGTTCAGCTAAGTTCAGTCAATGAGAACAGGCCCTTAATGTAGATTTGAAAACATGTTCGGCAATAATCAATTAAGTTAATTGGTGGTTAATTAGAAGAATTTAGAGTTTAATTAAGTTAATTGTTGCAATTAGGGGAATAGGTTTCCTCTCGAAAAAAAATGAATGTGGTGGTTTTTTTTAATGAAAAACTTTTAAAAGGTTTTTTTTTTCACAAAATGATGCTTTTAAAAGGTTTTTTTTTTTTTTTTTTTTTTTTTTAACAAATTTGCCTTACTTTTATTTAGCAGATTTTCATAATATTAATAGAAATTTAGTGGTACTCCACAAAATTTATCATACAAAATTACAAACTCCTGAAATACGATGTATTTGAAGAGGTTTCTAAAAAAAGTATTTGAAGTTACGACTCAGCTAAATCAAGTAATATCAAGAGATGTCCGAAATAAACATATTTAATTTTTTAAGAAAGATTTTCATAATAGCTTTCCATTAACACTAATTTTTTAAGAAATTAGTTGCTGTTGTCAAAAAAAAAAAAAAAAAAAAAAAAAAGGATGGAAATTCTGTTTATAAAAAATTCAAATATCTTGGGATTTTGTGGGATTTTTTTAAAAAGAACACAGTGAATTACAAGACTACAACTACAAGTCATATTTCATGTAGCATATCCATTGAAATGCACAAGGTCTGGAGAGAAAAATACACCAGTATAGAGACTAAACACAATTTAGAATTTATACTATTATTAACAACGAAATCTGTAAGGTCTGAAACATGAGAAAGACTACATTGCTTAATACAAACTATAAACTAATCATTATAGGACCAACCTCAACCTATCCCACCCCCCCCCCCCCCAAACAAAACAAAACAAAAAAAAAAAAAAAAAAAAAAAACTTCGAACCAGAATATGAACACCACTCGTGCAGTGCAAACTCCAAAGGGCAGACCTGAGTTGAGAGACAAATGGTTTAAGAAAAGGCCAAGAGATCTGAAAGTCCGAGCATACCCTGAGATGTCCAAGGCAGAGCACCATAACTTTTCCCCCAGATTGAAAGGCCAACACCATCAAACCAGAGATGTCCGAGGTGGATTATCACAACTCTTCCCGCCACGCACCAAATTGAAAGGCCAACACCATCAAACCAGATATGTCCAAGGTGGAGCACCACAACTCTTCCCCCAAGTTGAAAGGCCAACACAATCAAACCAGAAATAGCAATGCTTCCATTGTTTCTACATTAAGTTCCTTTTTTTTTTTTTTACTTGATTTGTTCTCTCTTAATTATTTTTTTTTTCAATTTTTTTTTTCTATCTTTATTTTTTTTTTCTTTTTTTTTTCTTTAATTTTTTTTTCCCCTTTAAAATTTTTCTTCTCGAATTTTTTTTTTTTTCTGATTTTTTTTTTTAATTCCAACTTCTGCTCATCAGTTACTCCTAAGTAACCCAAAACTAACTGCACAAATAACAGCAGGACAGAAGTTGAAACCGTCTTAAATCTAGCATCCGTAGTATTGTCTCGAACAACCAAGCAAACCTGAAACAGTCAAAGGGAAGAAAGCCAGCAACACAATATTGCACTTACCCGAGAAACTGGCTTTCTCTCCCACCCACCAAACTCACGCCAGCACAGTCGTTGTGGACCCAGGTTTCTGCAAATGTCCATCAGATTACTACACTGCCCCACTTCAAGCTGTACTAGCAAGACTAAGCCTGAAAATTATCACAGAAAATGCAAACAAAAGCAATATAAAGATGAACATTGTAATGAATATAAGTTACACTAAAAAAAAGGATTCTAAATCGGAAATAAGCATGCCTTATTACTGGATCTTGAATTGTTCTCGAGTCCGCTCCAATGCTTGCCTTCAACTTTACACCATTTATTCCATTTGTCTTCACAACATAAACACAAGAGTCACAAGTAGCTCAGAAAAGAAACATAATAAGCTCAAGACATAAAAGACCAAGGAAATTCCGAATAAAAGTTAAGTGACCAGCCAGCTTTTGCTCAAACTATTAGTTAAAACTTAAAATAATCAAGGAAGCATTAGCATAATTGCAGAAATTGACACAGTGAAAGAGGACAGAGCAGCAAAAGGCCAATATTTGTATAATAAATATTAGCACAATGAACCACAAATTTTGGAGCCAATACTGATATAATAATAGCAGATAAGAGTAAAAAGATAAAACCTCATATCCATCTTGCAATGCTACGTTGCTCTTCATGAAATCACTTTTTGCATTAGTGAGCAAGCCAGAAACTTCCTCAAACGCATCATTTTGAATTAAACTCTGGTTTACACTTCCTTCAGAACTGCTAATTTTCCCACCCTCTTCATTTGCTTTAGGTTCCGAATCAAGATCCCTGAAAACCCCATTGCTTGTAAGAACAGAGACAGCACTGCAGGTAGAGGTAGAAGGAATATCTGACTTTTCTGCAACTGAGACAGTACTGGCAGAAGTAGCCAGCCCAAAATCTTTAGCATCATGATCCAACACCGCATTCTTATTTGTTGAAACATACCCTGAGACCATCCCTGGAGGTGAACCCCGATCTACCACAGCTGTCACATCACACACTGGCAGTGGAGACCCAGAATTATGAAGCACTGAATCAGGAGACACTGAAGCACCACATGGACTAAGTGACCGCCGCTTCCCCGGTTGCCCAGATATATCTTCACTAGAACACTTTCTTTTATTAGACCTTCCACCATAAACTTCATCTTTTGGACTACTCGAACTTTGTACTCGCAGGTCACCTAGAGACCTTGATAATTGAGAACGCTTATATCCCTCTGGAAAAACAAAAGCTGGAAGCAGCTTTTTACGGACATGGGACACATATATATCCATTCCTGGTTTCCAGTAAGAGTACATATTTATTGAATTCCTAAACTCATCAACTGTTACGCGAATATCAAACTGCTGTCCCTCCTGAGCAACCTCGCCTTGCTTCCTTTGCAAACCCATAAAAAATGCACAATGAGCCCTTTGCCTGGATGGATCAAACAAGTCATGTGGACAGGGATGGCACTGCAGTTTCCCAAGAGTATCACGTTCTATCTGAAAAGTACAACAGATAAAACAAGACCTATTCAGACAAAAACCAATAACGAAATGCAGAAGAGACAACTGGAATTCATAAGATAACACATAACAATTGTGTGCAATGTAAAACAGCTTGACAAGCACCAATAAAGCTTAAGCCCCAGCAAAGACCAATAAAGCCACCACTATTCCATTGCAGACAAAAACAAAAATGTCTTACCATCAGAGTCAACTGTCTAAATCGGGATTCTACCCAACCTCTCCAAGAACGCAAATCATCAGCATCAGCAGCAATTATGTCAACTTGTAGATAGTTTTTATAGCTCTCAAAGAACAAATATGGCTCAAACAGAGAGCCCCAGCGTGCCTTGTTAAGCTCAATATCCTATGATAATCAAGTAAAAACAAAAACTACATTAGTGTCTTCCGAAAGATCTTAAAAAAAAAAAAAAAAAAAAAAAAAAAACAGGCTTCAAACCACCTTACCTGACAAATCTTGTTGCCAAACTCGAGCTGCTCCATCATTACCCGGAGAGTACTAGGCGAAACATTGTAGCTAGAATTCATGCAAGGGTACGCAGGCGTAATGATAGGCATGTGATGAGTACGGTCCCGATGATTTTTACGAGGATCCCAAACTGGAAATCCAAGCTCTTCCTCTTCAATCTCACAAAGCATCACAGGGTTGGGCCAACGCCACTGGGTAAAGACCCTAAAAAATCGAGAAACCAGCATACTTGGTACTGCATTTGGATACAGCTGACAAACCCGAGCAACTAGAATTGCCCAATTTACACCTCCAAGAAATCCAGTCACCTAAGCCAACAGATTGATGGAATTAACAAAAGAGGGAAGAAAAAAAAACACTAAATTGGGAATATAATCAACAATAGCAACTTGGAACAGCATAGAAACTCACATTTGAGTAAACACCTCGTTTTTTCGCCCAAAACTTAAGACACCGAAGCACAGTGCGGAAATGCTGAAAATGGAAGATAGTTTATAATTTATAATCATTCAAGGATCAAAGCAACAGCAAATAAAAGCTGCTAGTGGACCAGGACTATAATCATATTGTACTAAAAATACAAAATCTAAAATACAACAAAAAATCATTAATAACTAAAAAAAATGAAGGAATATAAAGCATTGCAAGGCTAAAGAAACTGAGTTTTCATGTGTACCTTGATGTTAGGAACTAACTTAAGAATTTGATCTGCAACCCTGCATCCATTTAAACTTCGAACAGTAGCTTCGTCAACATTGTATAGAACCGAAACATCGGAAATATCCAAGTCCTGCAACAATGCTCATTTTAGTTATCATGCTGGAGTCACACTATTAATAATAATAACTTACAGGAAAAGAAAACAATCACAATACTACCAATGTACAATTCTTCAGCAATATATATAATAGATCCTCTAAGTACACAATAGGAGATCAAATGTTACTATAAGAAAGAAGATGCAGCTAGTATTGGAATAGGATATTGTAACTAACTACCCCAAAAGAGTCACTGCTACTGCCCTTTGCCAAAAAAAAATGCAGTCCCGCAAGATATTATGCAATTACATGCTACAAACTTCAATAGTGCTGACTACAAAATAAAGGGGATGGCATCAAAACAAGCACTACCTCATCATTTTTAACTCCATAAGCAAAAGCATGAGGACAAATAAAAAGGATAGAAAAAATATACTTCACAATAAGAGCCATGTAAAGTCCACAGAAAATTAAACCAATTATAGTGTGAAAAAATCAAAGTACTACTTACTTTAGGAACAACCAAGACGGAAACACTAGCATAAAGAAGATCAATAGAAATCCCATCAAACTTAAATTTCATCACTGGTACATGCGCATCAGGAATTGGTTGAAGCTCGGTCACTTCCACCAATTGTGCCAGAATATCATGGAAAATGTAAAAGAAATCCTCCTATTGAGCACAAGGTAGAAAAACTATTAGAAGCTAAAACCCGGAGCAAATTCAATGAAATTGAACAAATCGCACAAATTAAGACAACTACTTACATCTCGGTTGATATATGATGGCCCCACACATAAAGCATCTATATCAGCTCCGGGACCACTCACCTGTATAGCACATGCAAAGGATAAGTTTCAAATCGAATTAATGCAAAAAAAAAAAAAAAAAAAAAAAAAAAAAAAAAAAAAAAAACAATTAGTATTTATGTCAGAAAATAAGTCATACAAAAAATAACTCCTTTCTGAAAGCATACTTTAATAAATCACAGCAAGAAACTGATACCATAAATCAGCATAGCAAACCAAAACAAGACACGTTAAGAAAACTATGAAACCATCAGTTATCGCAATAAACGACATCAAAAATCTCTGAAAAGAAGTATCAGAAAAACCAGACAAAGAAAACTTTAAGAATCTATAACTTGAGTTTTAATCAACAACGCATAATCAATCTCCTCAAATGCAGATTAACCAGACAGATATTAATCAATAGCAGCAATCTAAAAATGGTTTCACCAAAGCATAAAATCTTTGATTTCTTACCCCCAGACAACAAGATCCAAAAGTGAGTATCAATGCATTAGCATCCTCAACCATTTGATCTGTATACCCTCTTAGCCGAGTAAGTTGTTTCACCCAATCTTTGACAAGCTGAGAAGTAAAAGTATGAATTAATACTCAGAATTCAGAAATTAACATGATATCAGAGAGCTATGAAATAGGAGACGACACAATATCATGTAAGGAAAAGGCAAATATAACAAGTGTAGATACATTCACATATAGTACTGAATGCCATTCAAAAACAATTTTCTTTGAGTCTCTTACAATCCTCACCACACAGGTCATGCAAGAAAGTGAAGGCATAAAAGAAAGAAAATCCATCATACCCTTGTTGTCGTCAATAGTAAAATAATACTATACAAAAACAATCTTAATCCTAAATCACAATCATTATTGAGTTGAATGCTTGGTGATATGATAGTCCAATAGAGTTCAAGAAAAACTCTACCAATACAGACACAATCTTAATCTTGATTGAGATAAATGCTTGGTAATATATATCTAATCCAACAGAGTTCAAGAAGATCTCTACAGCTTCTGGTGGAAACAAAATTTAGTACCTTGACATTAACATGGAAAAAAACTGTCTCTGGCCATTCACCAGAGCAAATCCAACGACCGATAAAAGGAATCACACCGGAAAGGTAATTAAAGAGCTAACGACCACATTAAAGGTAAACTCTTCTAAATTATTACATATTAAACAAAAACATACACTGCTCCATCCATGTTAAAGATTTACTGAGTACCGACACAAACCAACATATGATAAACTTTAACATTTACAGACTAGTTTAATCGCACTCTTCAGCACATCTTTATTCTCTACAAAAATTATCTTGATCATACAGTAATATCTAACTATAAACAACAAATAAATCCACTAAACATATATGATTACAACAACCTCATTTATATTACAACTTCAGCAAGTCTAGGGGCTAGGGCATTTTCATACAAATGTAAACTAATTGACAATAATAATCAACCATCAACCAACAAAATCCCAAATTCAACATAATCAACTAGAATTCATGTCAGAAATAAGAACATAACTTCAACACACATCAATTAAGTTCTTATACCTCTCTAAGGCGAGCCAAAACCGCTTCCCTCTTCACCGCCTCGTCTTCGCTTTCATACAAACCAGAATCAACCAAAAACTGAAATTCCAATACAAACGATCAACAACAATCAATTACCAAAAACAAAAATCCCTAATTAAAATTAAAAATTCAAGAATCAAACCAACAAACCTTCTCCAATTCCCGAGTCTTCTGCAAATCAACAGCAGAAGGTCCCGCCATAGAAATCGGCTTCGTCACTCCAAGTTGCTTCACCAATCCTTCTGTACTCCCCATCCTTCTTCACTCAACAAAAATTCTCTCAAATTTTCACCCAAATTCCCAATAACAAACCCTAAATTCACAATGATCTATCCTCAGAACCAAGAAATAAACCCGAATTTCAAAATTAATTGAAACCCTAATGATCAAAATTCAATCACGATCAAACAAATTAGGAAAGAATGAAGAAAACCCGCAATTCTAAATTGAGAATTGGGAGATAGTAATTGAAAATCAAACCCTAAGAAGAATCGGAACCCTAGAAAAATCGAACGAAGAAACGAATTGTAAGGGGGTTCCAATTCAATTGAGAGAAGAAGAAGAGGAGAGAGAAAAAGGGAGGTTGATCGGTTTGGCGGCCAATTGATATTTTTTTTTTTATTTTTTTTTTTTTTTTTGGAAGAGTTATTTAATATAGGAAAAAAATCTCAAAATCCGTAACATTTTCGGAAAAGGAAATTAAAAAAAAAAAAGGTAGAAATATAAAAATAATGGGAGTAATTAAAGGAAATAAAAGATATTGTTAATGTGATTTTAGGAAATTAGGGGGAAAGATAGATTTTAGCAACGTTGGCTTTAATTGAGTTGGGATTTTTGGCGTACTATTTGTTGATCCTTATACACGTCTACGCGGGTATCTAGTTTGTAATTGTTGTACTTCTCTTTCCTTTTTTAGGATGGTGCTTTCAAATAATATAGTTGATCGTTGTTGGTTGATTTATCGGTGTTTTGTTTGTACTCTTTTCATATTAAAATAATTTTTGAAAATATTTGATTAAAATGGTTGATTAAATAATGAATGGGGTTGATTAATTTTTTTTCAAGATCATGGGTCTCTAAACACCAAAAAATAAAGTTGTGGAATTTGCTAATATATCTCTAGTAACTTAAAATTTGATTTTGTTCAAACTTTTTGTCAAAAATTATAAGGATCTTGCTAATGAACGCCTCTGTGGTATTGATTTGGGAATGGAGCATTTAAAATTAATAAAGTGGTATTTGATTATCAAAATAAGCATTTAAAATTAAATAAAGTGGTATTAATTTGGGAATGGATGACAAAATCACGCGTCAATTAGTGTAATTATGCTTTATTTTGATTTAATATTTATATATTTTGTTATCTTGTTCAGTGCCCTTAGGACGTTCATTAGCTTTTGCCAAATTATAATTGCATATTTTTTGGGTAATGTAATTTGATTGTGTAGTCTTTTTGTCTTAAAATATATTTATGTTTGCGATTGATTGGGGTAAATTTATGTAAATGATTTGATTTCAAAAGGTTAATATTTGATTTGTTTGAAATTGTGAACAACTCATTTTGTGTTTTACTTGTAACCTCATTCAAATTTGATGAGGATTGAATAAGGGTTTGTTTTGATTTACTGAATTGAAATGAATTGAGCTAATCTGAACTGATTGGAGCTGAACTGAACTGAATATTTTATGAGAGAAGGACATTAGAAACTGAACTGAAAATAAGTTGAAGAGAACTTGCCTTAAAAGGACTACTTCTTGTTGTTGAAATTGACTAAACAATTAATGATTGTTGCAATATACTAACATAGGCAAACGTATTTGGTAGTAAGGTCGATGGTGTCATTTGACCCTACTTGTTTTATGTTCAGCCTTCCTAATTAGTAAAATATTAGAGGTTAAAACTAAAAACTTTGTACTCTAGATGAAATTAAACACTAAGATCATTTTTTCACCTTATTTCAATTATTCACTTATTTTATTTAAAAAAAAAAGAGAGTTAAAATATTTAGAAAAAATAAGCTACTTCATCTTCTGCGATTGTTGATTTGTCTATGATGTAATTAGGTTTTGAGGTGTTATGTACTTGTATTGGCATTCTAGATTTCTCATGAATTGTTTGTAAGCGCATTAAAATATCTTTTATTGATGAAACCTTAAAGTTAAGAAAACAATTTTTCCTAATTAAAATAATATGGCTCACAAATATCATATTCAAAAAATGAAGTGAAGTTCTTAAACAATTGGGCTACTAACCATTGTCCTGTCGAACAACAAGTGACATTATGTATTGGTGGCCGAACAAGAGTGGAGAGTACTCCGTGCGATCTGGGTAATGGTTGGGAAAGCAAAGCCTTGCTTCTAAGGGTCTCAGAGGGCCACCAAAACTTGCTCATTTTTTGTGGAAAGTGTGCAAGGGGTTCCTCGCTGTAAGAGAAAGGTTGCACTATCACCATTTGATCGATAATATGACTTGTTCAATTTGTGGGAATGGTGACGAATCTGTTATCCATGCTACCTCTGAATGCAATGCTACCAAGGAAATTTGGTATGCTAGCAGCTTTTCTCATCTTATTGCACAAGCTCCATCTTCTAGATTTTCTAGACAGACTGATTTGAATGGCTTCTCATGTGAATAATGGGGAACTAAAATCCTTTGCTACACTACCATGGGTTGCGTGGTGGTGTAGGAATTTGGTTATATTCGAAAATGCGAGTCTTTTCCCTGTTATTAGTATTGCTGCAAACCTGTTAAAATTTGTTGCGGATCGTGGAGAGTATGCGAAGAGATTGTTTATGAGTCAGGGGGTGCCTGTGATGCAATCTCAAACATCTTGGAAGCGGCCTGCTGAGGGAATGGTGGAGGTCAATTGTGATGCTCATATTGGAAGGGTGATTGGTCTTGGGGTCGTGATTAGGGATACTGCAGGGAGGGTCTTAGCTGCTGGTGTGAGACAGGAGAAGGCTGGATGGGCTGCAGATCTCGCTGAAGCCGCTGCTTGTCGCAACGGGTTGCAGGTAGCCACTAAACTCGGCTTCTCCTAGCTGGTGCTTGAGAGTGATGTGTCCAATGTAGTGCAAGGCGTGAAGAAATCTGCTGCCAGCTTTACCCCCTTTGCTTTATTGATTGATGATCTTTGTACTCTCTCTCGGTCTTTTGCTTGCTTTTCTATTTCTCATGTTAAAACGTGCGGGTAATTCTCTAGCGCACCATGTTGCTGGATGGGATTCGAATGGTTATAATGAACTTGTGTGCTTAGATCCTTTCCCCCAAAGCCTTAAAACTTTGGCGGAAATTGATCTCTATTAATAATATTATCCGCAAGTGTTCTTAAAAAAAACAAAAAAACAATTGGGCTACAAAAACGCCGCATGATTGGCTACTTGCCCACTTGGCAGTAGTGGTACTTGGTAGTATAGAAAAGTCCAACAAGTCAAACGGTGGGAACAAATATTGGATAGTCATAAGAGTATTGAATGACACATGACCCACTCTTAAAGCATGATGTCAATGCCCCACTAGTCCAATTGAATATGCATATCCCATAAATTACGAAATATGTAAGCCCACTAACACAGAACATGATGCACGAATCACAATTCAGCCCAAACAAAAGAGGTAGTACTAATCCAACACTTTCCTCAAAGTCTTCAATACCTCCTCATCTTCCCAAATACATCTCCCTTCCATCTGTATTTTACATGGTTTTCATCACTTACTTTTTAACTATGAAACTTAAGTTACAATGAACCAAAAAATTATGAAATGGTTAAGTAATACTGTAATATTCAGTGAATCGAATTTAATTAAAACTCATTTAACAATCTTTTCTATATGGGAGTACAAAATATACAAATGAATCAATTAAAATATGCTTAAATGATTAAATTAGCTTTAGGACATGTTTACAATTACTGAATTGAACTGAACTGAACTAAACTGAACTGATTGGAGCTGAATTGATTGGAGCTGAACTGAACTAAGCTGAAATGAATATTTTATGAGAGGGAAATTAAAAGCTGAACTGAACTGATTGGAGTTGAAATGAAATTAAGTAAATGTGAACAGACCCTATTAAGAATATGTTGTGATTCTAATCCACAAAAAAAAAAAAAAAAAAAAAAAAAAAAAAAAAAAAAAAATTACAAATTTACAATATATCTGAGTAGTCTTTTACAATTTAAAATGGTAACAAGCAATTTTATAATAGTAAATCAAGATCTATTAAAGTGAATAGTAAAACGTTGAGAAAAGTCATCTTATAATAATAACCATACTAATCTTAAATAGTTAACATCCCATCACTGTAGATTGTAGAATGTGCTAAAGTATTACCCGTTCTTATTGTCATGAAAAATAAAATAATGTCATCAACAATATTTACGAGTATGTGCATTCATGAGTACATTCTATGACATGTTTTCATATATCATAGATGTCTAGATCCTCTCCCTCTCATAAATATTCAAACGAAGTAATCTTCAACCTTGTGATGACTATTGACTAATTAATAAAGACATAATGAAGAATGAAGTATGCATGTCAGCAGTAGGTATAATGAGTAAAGGTAGGGTTAATGTTCACCATCATGACCATATATTCCAGTCTTCAATTTGTGTTAACGGTTCAAAAATAGCATCATTATTCTTAAGACATAATTTTGCCTATTACATGCTTTGCTTAATTGCTTAATAACTCAATTTTATTCTATTCAAATTCGAAACTTAAACATGTATGCTAATTATCATTTAACTGACATGATTAAGTTCGTCCTTCTTTGAGCTTAATAATAAATACCCCCACCAATATCAAATTAATCACAAAAGCCAAGAAGTAATATATTGGAAACACAAACAAATTTGGAAACTTTTGAACCTTTCTTGATAATAACATTTTAACAACATTATACCATATTAATCAGCTTAGCTTCATCTTAGCTAATTACGATAGCTTTGACATTCTAGGAACTTTGAAGGGACTCTCCAACTAAATATATTAACTCTTTCTAATTTTTTTATTTTTTTATATTTGATTATTATTCATGTCTTTTAATTGCAGCCCTACAAAAATTTATTTGATACTCTATAATACACCTTCCAAATTTTATTTAATTATTTTGTTGCAAATGAGCCATTAGGGCATTACAATTTACAATTACAAATGTGAGAGAGGAATTTTGACTTTGTGACCTATTGTATGTAGGCTTTTAGTTTTCATTTGCTAGAATTGCCACTACGCTAAAACCTCATTGAGTCATTAACTCATTGGTATACTGTATACACCTAACAAAAGTGATCCACATACACTAATCCAATTAAAAAATAAGTATTACCTCGAAAATGGATATATGAAGTTTTTGAATTAGATTAGTCATAATTAACTAGGAGTTGCCTTGATTATTTTTATTGTGAACCCTGAAACGATTTTTACTAGAATCAAAATTGACCTAAGAATAACGAATTCGACTAATTGAATATATAAAAGTCATTGGTTTGTTATTATATAATCTCAAATACTATTTGCTACTTTGTTTTGTATTTGTTACTTGGATATTTGTATTCTCCTTGAATCCCTTACCTTGATTGATCTAGTTGCTTACCATGTTCTCTGATTTCATGCCATGACCTAAATTCCCCATGGCCTCCCCGCACGTTGGCCTCTTACAAGTCTTACCGTAACTCTAATGTTTCATTGGTACAAAAGCAACTACTCAATCAAGCCTGCTTGAGAGTAATACTTGATGAAATATAACTCGTTATATTTATCACTATAAAAATTAAAATTTGTTGGATAGTATATGGTTACATCACTATACAAAATTAGGAAATTTTAGGATGTATAAATAAATCACGTAACAACATACAAACTAGGGCATGTTTTGATTACTAAACTGAAGTATACTGAAATGAACTTAACTTAAGCTGAAGAAAATAGGTCCTTAAAGTATGATTGTATTTTTCATTCGAGTTGTTTGTGTGTTCCATATAAGACTTATTATCTATGTTTTTTTTGTATCTTTTAATTAGAGAAAACCTTAATTGAGTATATAATTTGGATTAGAAAATTAGGAACACAATTGAATTGTTCATGGGGTTGTCAAAGAGTTGAAAATTTTTTTGTCACAATTTTTCCTAGCGTCTTCCAAATCCTTTAAAAATATAAATAAGTACAAATATTCCTACTTAATTACTTTATTGTATAAAAAAAAATATGGAGTACTTTATTGTAATCCAGGTGTTTTTCTTTAAAAAAGATTTTTTTGGGTAGGGTACATAGCTCTATAAAGCAAAAAATAAAAATAAAAAAAAATAGTAAAAAATAAAATAAAATAAAAGAGAGGTGAAATTTAGTTGCAGACTATGATTGGTGGAACAAAACTTTTTTTGAAATTGATAAAGGGAAATACGGAGTAAAGTTTTTGATTCGTCTAATTTTATTTTTGCTCTAACTTTTTAGGCGTAAAATAAACTCCGTAATACTCAAAAATAACTTTTCTCTCTATTTTTTTGGTTCTAAATTACTTGTTTTTCATTACCTTAATTTACTTTATAATCTGACCATTCTTTTTGTCATCTAATGCACTCTTTCACAAGGCATTTGTCAGATTAAAAGCAAATCTTAAAAGATAAAGTGAAAAAAGAAAAGTAATTAACTAAAACACAGTTGTTTTAATTTGTTGTCAGAAAAAAAATAATTTGAAAAGTAGAAAGAGGAAATTATTTTGTTTCTTTTCATTTGAAATCACTAGAGTAAATTATTTTACATGCAAGGGGCAAATTCATTGATTTGCATGAAATGTTTTCTTAATGAGTATAAATTGCCTTCTCCTCCTATTAAATTTAGATACTAAGGATATGTTCTCATACGATTATTTTCAATTCAGCTTAGCAATAATAAGTTTAGTTCAGTTCAATTCTGTTCAGTTCAACAGCTTTTAATTTTCTTCTCTTATAAAATATTCAGTTCAGTTCAGTTCATCTCTAATAAATTCAGTTCAATTCAGTCCAGTTCAGTTCAGCTGATTAGAGCCTGTTCTCATTGACTGAACTCAACTGAACTGAATTAAGCTGAACTGAACTAAACTAAACTTAAATAAATATTTTATAAGAGAAGGAAATTAGAAGCTGAACTGAACTGAACTAAGTTGAAGTGCTGAACTAAGCTGAAATGAACTGAACTGAAAATAAACGTATGAGAACAAGCCTTAAGTACTCTTTTTTGGTACGCAATCGAGATTTGTATATCACTATATCAAAACTATCAAGTACGTTAATGATAAATATTGTATATTGACGAGCATAAAATTTTAAGTGAAACATTTAGTGGTAGACACATATTCTCTATTTTTAAATTTTAAGTATTGTTAAAGCAATACAAGTTTACAACTTAGGGCCTGTTCATATTTACTGAACTGAGCTGAACTGAACTGATTGAAGCTGAACTGAACTGAACTGAAATGAACTGGAAAATTAAAATGCATAAAAATATATGAAAATGTTTATGAAAATTAATGATAATATATATAGTGGATTATGAAAAATTATAAAAGTGTTTTAAAAATAACTCTGTATTTTAAATTATTATATTTTAAATTATTAAATTTTCGTGTATTATATTTTAAATATATATATATAAATAAAAAGTATTCTTCAATATTTTACTGTAGTCAATCGTTGCTTGTTGTATTCTACACAATTTTGTTCGTTTACATGAACTAGGGGTTCCATTCACGCACCAAGTTGAAGTCATGGGACTAACAGAAGATCATACTATGTACGATGATAACAGAAAAGCAGCTATGGATATTGTACGAAACCAAATAACTGATCAGATATGGGAGTCAATTCAGAGGAATGCCGAGGTAATGGAGCAACTTAATGAAGAAGAAGAAGACGAAGAACTAACCGATTATGAAAGCTAGTAACTGTTGTGTAGTACTCTCATTTTGTCAATGAGTTCAACTATAAAAAAAACATGTGACCATTTTGAACGACGAATATAATTTAAAATAATAATAATAATAATTATTATTATTATTATTTTATTTTTATTTTTTTTATTATTTTATTATTATTATTATTATTATTATTGTCGTTGTTGTAATATAATAAAACATCTAAAACAAAAAAAAATTAACAACTGAACTGAACTGATTAGAGCTGAACTGAACTGAACTGAACTAAAAATAAGTAAATATGAACAGGCCCTTAAATTCATAAAAATCACGTCACATTAGCAGCAAAAAAATCATATGCAATTAGGCAGTGATTAGTGAGCGACTGAGCGTAACTTTCGTTTTTTAAGAAGTAGGATATGTTAAACCTTGGATGTTTGTCATCATTCTTTTCCTTTCAGGTTGTACAAATCTATATGCACTTAAATCAATCGGACTATTTATCAAGGTTACAAAACACCAATACAGGATCATATCTTTTAATAGAAAAACTCACTTTACCTTTGCTGATACAGGGTCAGGTGATCATAATATTAAACCTAATCATAAGCTATTACTCACATAATCAAGCTTTATAAAACCATATGAATTCATAGTACTATTTGTAATTAATTTTTGTTAAAAGATTTGCTATGTTGCCAATTTTCGTTCCGTTATACAATATTTCCAAACTGTGATACTCTAAGTTTGCCTATGCAATTTGAAAACTGAAAAGGAAATTTTGGTTCCATGATTTGCTTTGGATTTGTTCAATTCCTCTTATTTAAGGGTAACTCAAGTTTAAATTACAATTAAATTAAATTCTAATAAGTTTAGATATGTGAAATCAGGTGAATATAACACACCCTTAATTAAAATATATAATAACATTTCTGTAGTGTTTGATTCAATGAATCAACTTTATTGTTTGTTGATGATTAACATATCAAAACTACTATTGTTACTAATAATACTTATTGATCTAAACTACTTTGAGTGCTAATTTAGTTAGGTTCAACAACAATCTTCTTGATAGCCAACACCCAATGTACATCATTGCCAATTTGTTACCAATCTTTATCATTGATTTTTTTTTTTTTTTTTTTTGAGGGAATAAGTTAATCATTGATTTTTTTTTTTAGTTAAGCGTAAGAACTTAACCTTCATCTAACTCAACCAATGAAATAAATTTAAATATTTCCCCATAAGTCAATTATAAGTTTGGCACCGAAATGTTAGGGGAGGAAGGAGGTAAACCTTCAAAATAGAAATTAGTGAGAACACCAAATATACCCCATGCATAAACTATTTTTTTTTAAAAAAAAAAAATAATTTTCTTAAATATATTTTTATGAAAATTTATTTTAATTTCCAAAAATCACCAAATCCTTTTTGACTTTTGACTCCAATGCATCATCACAATTTAAAAATCAAAATCTTTACAACCTTCTATTTTCCCCATAAAACAATCACAATTTCCAATTCAAAAAAGAGCAAACATTTTCATTTTATTATTCTTTTTACTTCCATTATTTTAAATTGAAAAATAAAAACCCAATAAAATAAAAAAATAATTAAAAACTTAGTTCTATAAATACAATCACTAGTACCACTTTGGACTGGCAAACACCCCTGTTTTATCAACTCCAAAACCCCAAAAACTTCCCAACTTCAGTGCTTGCAACATGTAAAAACTCTCTGACCCATCAATCAAATCTCAACATTTACAATTTATTTCTCACACCCATCTTTTTCCTTATTTATTCCCATTAATAAAATTTATTATCATATCTTAAAACCCATCTTTTCAAATCTTTCAAAACCCCCCATTTTCTCTGTTTTTTCCCCTGTTTTTTTTGAGTAAAAAACAGAGCAATCCCCTGTTTTTTTTCAAAAATGGGCAGAGCAACTCGATGGTTTAAATCCATTTTAGGAATGAAGAAGCAAAATGACAATGAAAAAGCTGCTAAAAACAGTCAAAATGAAGATGGGTTTGGGAAGAGAGAGAAAATAGGAATGGTGGAAAAAAGATGGAGTTTCACAAAAACAACAACAAAAGAAAGAGTGAAAGAAAAAGAGAATCAATGGTATAGAGATTATCAAATTTCTGAGACTGAAAAAGAGCAAACTAAACATGCTATTGCTGTTGCTGCTGCTACTGCTGCCGCCGCTGATGCCGCTGTTGCAGCGGCACAAGCGGCGGTTGCTGTGGTTAGATTGACTAGCCAAAACAGGGGAGCTCTGTTTTCTTGTGGTGGTGGAACTGATAGATGGGCTGCTGTTAAGATTCAAACACTTTTTAGAGGTTATTTGGTAAGTTTTTATTCTATTTTATTTCGGCCACTTTATTTATCATTGAAATTTGAGTATTTCGCTTTTTTTGGATTTTTGACTTTTAAGTTTTAATTATTTTATTTTTTTATTTGTGTGATTTTGGGTTTAAGATGGGTTTTTGTTTTGTGATTATAAGTTTAATATGGTGGGTTTCTGATTTTATATTAAGATTTTTATTCTGTTGATGCTTAAAAGGTAGTGATGTAGGCGGGATTTGATATACTTACGCTAGTTGACATTCATATGAATTTTTGGGTTATCAAATTGAATTTCATGGACAAAATGTAGAATGTGAATTTTGTTAGATTTTCTATAGTACCATGGTTTTAAATTAATTTTTCAACTGTGTACTAATGAAAACTTTTAAACTGAAGATATGATATCTAAGAATTGGTTGGAAATTGAAGAGTAAATGATTTTCACACTTTCTAGAGGTGGAAAAAGGTATTTCTGGTAACTTGAAAAGATTATTTTCATGTTACTACTTCAAGAGTGATTTGGTCAACTTTTTTTGTTAAGTTTGTTTCTTCCTTTTCCCATGTGTATTTGACATTATGAGTGCATTATTTATTTTTGAATTTGAAACTTACATGTAGAATATTGTTTTGTAAGTTAGTTTTGCCTTCCAAAGTTTTGAATTTATAATTTCATCTTATGTAAATAATTACTCATGATTAACATGATTAAGAAACTAAATTGGATTTACGTTTGATTGATGAAATCCGATTGTATTACCGAGTTTATAATTTGTTTAGCGAATTGTATTAACTTGAAGCTAAATGGTTTAGATTCTATTGATGAAGGAATGTAACATTTTAATGTTTTGAATTAATAGGCCAGAAGAGCACTTAGAGCTTTAAAAGGACTAGTGAAACTACAAGCTCATGTTAGAGGCTATCTTGTTCGAAAGCGAGCTGCGGCAACTCTACATAGTATGCAAGCTCTCATTAGAGCTCAAGCCGGTGCGCGTTCTCAAAGGGCTAAATTAGCTCTAAATCGAAGTAATAAGGTTCCCTCGGAGTTTCGATCACGAAAATCCATGGTAAGAGTCTCAAATTGTATTTGAAAAATAGATGATCAAAATTTAATTAATTGCATCTACAATGACTAATGTGTGATGTTTCCCTATTTTTTTTTTTCAGGATAATAGGTTTGATGAATCGCGGTGTGATCAATTTTATAGCAAGAGACTATCAACATCGTATGAGCCGTACAATAATGCATATGAAGGGAGTCCAAAAATCGTTGAGATTGATACATATAAAACGAAGTCAAGGTCAAGAAGAATCAACCCTTCAATGTATGATTTTAGTGGTGAAGAAATGCAATACCCAACAATGTCTTCACCACTACCATCACATCCTTACCCAGGCCGGATTTCCATACCTGAATTTAAGAAGACCCCACATGACTATGACTGGGGATTCTATGGCGACGAATGTAAAAGCTCAACCGCACAAAGTACACCCCGGTTTGCAAATTCGATCCGATCCAATGGTCCTATTACCCCCACAAAGAGTGTGTGTGGGGATAGCTTCTTTAGGCCTTACTCGAACTTCCCTAGCTATATGGCAAATACACAATCGTTTCGAGCCAAGTCGAGGTCTCAGAGTGCCCCAAAACAAAGGCCGGGGGGGCGGCCTAAGACTCGTCTATCATTGGAAGATATAATGGCAGCTAGAAATAGTATAAGTGGTGGTAGGATGCAGAGGTCTAGATCTCAAGTTCATGATTGCTTGAACTTGTGAAATGAAATGAGAATCACTTTGTGTTTTGGTGAAAATAGTGAAGGCATAAAAGTGTTTGTAGTCTTGGTTATGTTTTTCAGTAAAAATTTAGAAACACAGAGTGCTTGTATATTCTAAAGAAAATCAACTAATTATCCATGAGAATGGAAAATGTCTTTACTCTTTTTAATCATATTAACCTTGTGCAAATTCTGTCCAAAGTCCTCATATAGTCTTATTTATAACTTCAAAAAAACATAAGGTGCATTGCACTTGGCTTATATAGATTTTTACGACAATTTTATGGTAAAGCCAGATATACTCCCACCCACTTATGGGTTTTACATTTAAGTCGTATCTATAATCTATAAATTTTGTTTATTAAAGTCTAGAGTCTCTTGAGAATGAATCTTGTGCGGAGTAAATATTATTGTCCGATGTGACTCTTGTTGACCCTTATGAGGTTTTGATGATGATGTTAAGAACTGAGCAAACTTTCTTTTAATAAGGATTTTCTAGTGTTGTGATGTTTTCAGGTTCAGTAAGCAGTGGCTGAAGTAGGAACTGAGACAAAGGAACTTTAGAAGATCCAAGAGGATAAGTAAAGACAGAAGAAGAGTTCCAGTAATGGAACTTCCCGAAGTTTCTCTACAGGAACTTCAAAACGGGTTGTAATGACTTGGTTCCGGTGTAATGCTGGGGCAAGCCTCAATAACCAAGGATCAGTGCAAAGATCGAGATATCAACCGAAAAAGATGGACTTCATAACTTAATAGTTGTATAAAAGATAAGTTTGTTTTTGTAGGTTGATGTAAGCATATTAATGGTTGTTGTGCATGGAATTTATTAGAAATCAGATAAAGCTTGGCAAGCTGATTGATTCGTAAAAGATAACTTTAGTTTTATGAAAAAGTACTTAATTGATTTTATCTTATAAAATCTGATTTAACTTGGTTTTATCTTTTTCATAAAATTCTATCTTTTAGTTAAAACGAATTTGATAAAATTGGTTTTCAGATAAAGCGAAATTAAATCTGTTTTGATTTCGATTTTAAAGAAGATAGAATCAGATTTCTGTTTGATTTATCTTATTTGCGAAAATCCTAGTTTGTGTAGCTGAGAAACTCCTATAAATATAGAAGTACTTCAGCTTAGCTAAATGAGAGTTTTTAAGCGTGAAAACCACTTAGTTCTTAAGAGCAAGTTTGCCAAAGGTTAAAGCTTTATCATTTTGATTTCGGGTTTCATGTGTAGCTTTCCATTTATATGTTAGAGTGTGTCTTTGTGTTGTAATTGGTTTTGGGGTGAGATTGTGAATTCTCTTAAATTCACGCTTGTGTATGAGTTTGAATTCTCTAAAATTCAAGTGGTAGCTGTGAGTGCACAGTGAGTGAAAGGAACCCGAGAGGGTGACTTGGGTCACCTAGGAAGTGTCCTGGGTAAAGGGAGAAAAGGGTCCTAGGAGGTGTCTTAGGTCTGGTAGGAGGTGTCCTATCATATAGTCAAGTGTCCGTGGTAGAACTTGCAAAGCAAAGGTCTGTGTAATAGGTTGTACTAGGAGAGTTGCCTATTATAGTGGAATTTGTTTATAAGTCCCAATAGGGCCGAGATTTTACTTCCAGTTAGGCACTGAATGGTTTCCTCGTAAAACTTGTTGTGTGCTTTAAGTTCCTTTACGTTTTAATTGTTTATTTCCGCTTAAGTTCCGCGATTGGAACCTACTACTATTCACCCCCCCCCTCTCGTAGTAGTTCATCTAAACTAACAACTCTCTACACATAAATGAAAAATAAATAAAATGATGAGAGACATACATGTATGTATATGTGTCAATTAAACCCCAAACTTATCCTCCAAATGACACATGATCAACTCACTCTCATTCCATGCATTATAATTACTCTCAAAGATTTTTATTTATTTTTATTTAGTATTACTTTGGTAGATTCTTGAAAGATATTGATAATCCACAAATAATTTTTTTTATATATTAATAATTTGTGATTAAATTTTTTTTTTTTACCGCTAAAATCACAAATAGTCACTGGTATGTTGTATAGTGGGAGATTTTTTTAGAAGTCGAATCTATTTAAAGGTTTCTATGTTTCTTCTTCCATTCAAAATTAGTTGACATGCTTTGACTTTGACACTATTTATAATCAAAGCATTAATATATTAACGTTTGTGAATTGATATGAAAAAACAAAGTTATGTGGGATCATGTTATATAGTATTATTAAAAATATTTTCGGTTAATTTTTTGCATTGACAAACGTAATAATAAACTAGTTTGGAATGGAGGATGTTTGTTGTTTGCTAGAGAAGAGGAGTAAGCTTTTATTTTATTTTTTTTATATACTTATATTTACCTTGTATATTTTAAGAGCTTTAAAATGAATTGAGTGAATTAAACACAACCATTTATTTGACAAAGTCGCTCTGACTAACTTTACTAACCTAAATCTATAAATTGTGATTTTTTTTTTTTAATTTAAAACTTGATTTACATTTATTGATAATATGCACTTTTAGTAAGCTAGACTAGATGTTTTAATTAGGTGCAATCTAGTAATCTAGATATGCAGTTATGGAGGGAAAATAGTCCTATTCAAAAATTGTATAAAATATAGCTAAACTTTATTATATTTTATATGAAATATTTTCTAGAGTCTAGAACATAGCAAACGTTTGGTGAAATATTTGAAATTCTTACAAAGTTACAATGTAGCTAGCCTAACTTAGTTACTTAGGCTTAAATTATAGAGTATTTATTTCTCAATAATGTAAGCTTCCATGCAGGTTCTCAGTACATATTTGGCTTCATCTTGTTCTTAGTAATATAACCTTGTACAAATTAATAAAAAGGGCACATTTTTCTATGACATAAAACCACTTTCTTTTTGGATTATTTGAGCTAAATGGTTCCCCTCCTTCCTTCATGTAACCTCAAAACTATAGGTGTTGATTAGTTTATGATATAATGTTGTTGTAACAAAATATTTTATAAGGGTAGATCCCATTGCTCAATGATAAGAATATTCCTCTTAAACTATGAGGATTATCAGAGATCTAGATTCAAATTTTCAAATCTTGAGTTCTTGTCTAATCATATTATTACGGGATTATAATTACCTATTGTTATAGATCTAACGAGCTGCTGGCTTTGTGTTTATACAAATCACAAGTTAAAACCGTATTAATGTTAATTAGAAAATGTCGATATTATAATCCCATACATACCCGTGATAATTTATAAAAATATACTCCTTCAAGCTTAAATAAAAAACCACAATTATTCTACAAGTGTATGGTTTTATGTGAGGAATTGTATTAAAATTGTTGACAAACAAATTTCAAAGAAAAAAAATACTCCATAGTTTATTGTCGACAAGAAACCCTAGTTCTTTGGAGAAAAGAATCAAGAGATCTACGAAAGTTGTAACCCACAAATTATCAATAAAATCATTGTTTTCGTATATATTTATACCTCTTTAATTACGTATTGCAGGTTTGAATTTCTATGGTTCCCAACTCATCCCATTAATGCACATCTCTATAGCAGAGGTTTCAGTCAGTCGGATCTTTACATTCCAAACTTAAAGCGCACCAACGGTTGATGTAATCAATGACTGAGCTAACTCAAATTGCGCAATGGGATTAAGAGCCAGTCATTGATTACATCAAACGCTGACGCGCTCTAAGTTTGGAATGTAAATATTGACTGACCGAAACCTCTGCCATAGAGATGTGCATTAATAGGATGAGTTGGGAACTACATTACATCCTAAAGGGTATCAAACCATGATCTTTTCAAGAGTTGGCGACGAGAGCTCATGACATGAAACTATCGATCACCTATAACAAGAAGAAGGGGCTTTCTTCGGAAGCTAAGAAAGAAAAGAAGGAGTATTATAGTCTTCCAAAAATTCAACTAAGGAGACGTTGTCTGTGACTACTTCTTCGACTTTAAACTTTGCCTTAGAACGATATGAACATGCCCTTAAACTTTCCCTTCCTTCCTTCGAGGGTAAGGGCATGTCCAGCGGCTAAAACAAAGCTGAAAACACTTCGTTGAGCTGTCTTTCTTCATTAAAGTCAGATAGTTGATCGAGAAAGCACCGCATCAAAAGGGCTACATCGAGTTCTATACCATGATCTGGGAACCATGAAGACAGCCCGCCACTGGAACTTGCTCTCGCTCCGCTCGTTCCCACCTGCCTTCTCCCCACTAGAGTGAGAGTCACTCTAGCAGGAACCTCACAAACCTTTTCGGTCTGTTACTAGTATGTTAGGTTTTTTCGGTCACGGAGCCGGAAAAACCGGTATCGGGATCTTTACAAAAAGCTTTCTAACGTCTTTTTTGTTTTAGCTGCGAGCAATCCACGTTTGTGATCTCGTATATTTCGATTTTCCGGCATCTTACTGACCCTCATCTTTTTGCAAAAAGCCGCTCCACGGTAGTAAAGTCTCATCTTGTGTGTTGGCTGAAGTGACAATAGTTACATTGAACCCTCGAATATGTTCGAAGATCTCAAAATGATCTTCTAGTTCCGGGGAGAATTCGCAAAACTCCGTTTCCATCGAGAATTGAATGGAGTTTTCCCGTATTTCCACCAGAGAATCTAAGAGAGACATTACTGTCGAGAGCTCCCTGCATAGGTTTGAATAGATTCGGCTTTTCTCCCGCCCCTCTTCTCGGCTTTTTTTTAGAAAATATAACCTATTTTCTTCCTCAGCCCCTGCAAAATAGGAGTCGACAGCCCTCTCCATATTGTGAGGATCCTCCACGGGGATCCCCTGCTCCTGAAGAAATTGTTGCATCAATGAAACAATTTCCCCCTTTAGGGCTCGGGCCCTTGGAGAGCAGGCGAAATCTTCCGGAAATGGAGTTTCGGGCCCGTGCCGGGGCCTCTTCCGTAGTCTTTCCTCCCCTGATGGACCACCTGGCTGCCCATCGGCATCGTCAGGAACAAAAGATGGATCCCCCAAGGGTCCCGGTGGTGTACTGGACCCCCCGGGCACTCCCCCCGAACTAGCCGGCAAATGCTCCGGGGCTTGGGCAGGGGCAGCCACAGGGGCTTGGGCAGAAGCCTCCCTTTCGGGAAAGAGGGACTCTAGATTTGGATTTTCCGCCATCATGGTAGAATAATCCTCCCCTGGCGAGTTAGGGGGGGAAGGAAGAGGAAGCGGCTGCCCTAGAACCCCCAAGACCCCCAAGAAGGAGCAGAGGCACATCGCAAAGGTAGCATGTAAGTATATCCGCCCACAAAAAAGAATTATACCTCCGACAATAAATAGAAACAAGTAAACCGCGAAAAAGAGCCCTTTACCATACCGAACCCTTAACCTATGAGAGTCAATTCTAAAGAGAAAACAAAAGAAAAAAAAGACTAATAAAAGTAAAATCAGAGTTTTACCCGATAGAAAACCCAATACTTCTGATCCTAGAAAACGTCCGAAAAAACCAGCTACGGAACTACCAAGCAAGGGCAAAAAGACGATAAGTAAATACATAATTTCGAGTGTGATCAAACAACCAAAAATCAGACAATGACAGAGCGGCGAGTGATAGATTGATCGACGTCCGAAGAAGGCTCGACCAAAGAAATAAGTCACAAACACCGAGAGCCCTAGAAAGTTAAGAAAGAAGTCTAATCATCTTTTACCATTAATGAAAAATGTGCTTTTTTTCGTCAGCCTTATAGCCTACGGGTCTGTGCACATCAGCCCATCACATCAAGGTGACAGGATTCGAACCTATGGCCCTCTGTACCCAAAACAGATGCGCTGACCAGACTGCGCTACACCTCGTTTCACCCTCCGAAGCATATAGATCTACCCGATCGATCAAGACTCGAACCGAACTCGCTCATCCTTTTTGGACCCTTCGCCCGCTTAGAAGTGGATTCGAACCACTGACACAAGGATTTTCAGTCCTTTGCTCTAACCAGCTGAGCTACCTGAACCACTTTCCTAAAGTCTGTTTTCTTCATCGAAAAGCGCCCTACACTTTATTCTTAAGTAAGAATAAAGAGAAAAGCCCTTTAAGTTTCAGTTAAGGGCCTTTTCGCTTGTTCGTAAAGCTTTCGAGCAGCTCTTTCAACTGCCGCCTAATCTCCCAACATGCTCAAGAACCGAGAGCCGTCCAGGTACCTACCGGCCGGAGGGAGCTTGCTTATAGAAAGAAGATAGGCCGGTCAAAAAAACAAGGCGCAACGGGCTCTCTGCTCCTAGTCACTAAGTAGTGCTAGATTTCAAAGATAATCCTTATACAAAATATATCATAAAGAATATTTTATGGTATTCTCTATCACTTTTAAATAAATGGTTGTTAAGAAATTAACATGTTAAGCGAGTAATTATTGACAATTATTTCCATAAAACAACTCTTTAAAGAATTATATTGATACTCAGGAGATGAAACTCTCTAAAATGCACATAATGTAAATCATCTTATTATAGCAAATCTAATCTTACTCGATAAATACTCAAGGATGAACAACTTACACATCTAACACATGGTTTTTTTTTTTTTTTTTTTTTTTCTAAAAAAAAATAAAAAAAAAATCCAATATTTCAAATCAGTAATGATTAGTTGGATATTATGGAGCGATATCGTGATAGTGAAAGGCATAAGAATCTCTTGGAAAGCGAACAAACTACTTGTGGGCTTACGTCATCAATGGCCTCATGGGGTCATGTTATTTGTGCACAACCCTTTTGACTAGAAACTCACCCCACATCATACCATCAAGGACATTTCGTACACTGTGAAGATAAGAATCTATCCACCATTGTCTCTAAAATTACTCTTTCTATTCCAATTTTACCCCTGTAATATAAGGATTTTTAACCAAAATCTATGTTTTTTTTTTTTTTTTTTTTTTTTTTTTTTTTTTTTTTTTTTTTTGTGATTTGGTCTTTCTAGTGTTGTTTTAGTATTTTCTTTATTTGTTTCTTAGCTCGCCTTGTCAAAATCTATCTTTATTTGAAGTACTACTATAAAGTTTATTACGAGTAATTGATTATACTTCCTTTGTTCTTAATTATACTTCCTATTCTTTTAAGTTTATGAACAAAACATGTATTAGCAGAGTAGCTTATTTAGGCTCTTATTTAGGGTTAGAGGTGATCAATATTGGCGCGACTCGTAAGCCCGGCCTGAAAATAGGGCGGGTTTGGGCAAACATAAAAACACATTTTTAGATAAAAACCCAAACCGACACAAAAAACCTGCTTAGGCCCGACAAACTCGCTATTTTTTTACGGGTTTGAGCACGAGGAATTATGTTAAGGCTTGGCCCGATTTTTTATCACCTCTATTCAGGGCTTGTTCTGATTGACTGAACTAAACTTATTAGAGCTGAACTGAACTGAATATTTTATGAGAGAAGGAAATTAAGAACTGAACTGAATTGAACTTATTATAGCTGAACTGAACTGAAAATAATATCAAGAGAACAGACCCTTAAACTAAGTAGAGCGAAATAGGACTGAGTACAACAAATTTCATCCAAGCAGAGCAGAGCAGACCACACCACACCACCTCAAAAGAACAGGATCATAAGCCTTATTGTTCTTCTAAATTGATACAATTACAATGTAGTAATCAAAGTATCAAACTAAATTGAACCGAAAAGAAATCTAATTTAGTTTAGTTTAGTTTAGCTATTACAATGATTTAGTTTAGTTTAGTTTAGTTTAGTTTAGCTCAAGAGAACAATGTCTTACTTTGGATACAAATATGTCAATGAAAGTGAAAAAGTAGAGACAAAGAAATCAACTTAAAATAATACAAAGAATAATCTTACTTTTAACGATGTATTGCAACTATACTTGAGAAATTTTTAAAATGAATAATTTAATTTTTTTGGTATGGATAGAGAGAGCCATAAAGGTAAATGACGTAGACGCGGTTTCTGTTCCGATTTACTGAAAACAATTGAACCAAACTGATTAGAACAGAACAGAACTAACTGATTGGAGGTAAAATGAATTGAAATATTTGACTATGTATTAATGATTTTTAACTATGGATTTAGTAATGATATTGATCCACTAAAAATTATGAAAAATAAAATGATGTTCAAAATTAATCCATTAATAGTTTTTTTTGTTTGTTTGATTTTTTTATTTTCATGTTAATTCATGCCTGTGAAATTAATCTATTGTAATTGTTTGACTATTAAAAAATGAAAAAAAAAAATCCACGAAAATATCCAAAACAAAAAAAATGAAAACAAAGAACCAAAACTACACACTTCCATTCAAAAAAAAAAAAAATCGCACTTCCATTTGAACAATTATTATTATTATTATTATTATTATTATTATTATTATTATTATTGTTATTATTATTATTATTATTATTATTATTATTATTGTCATTGTTGTTGTAATATATACTAAAAAGTATGAAATTTGGCTTTAATTATCATTAGATATAAAGATGAACTTAAAAAGATTAGCCCAAAGGCATGCCTAAACTAAGGGCCTGTTCCAATTTAATTACTGAATTGAACTGATTGGAGCCGAGCTGAACTGAACTAAACTAAGGGCTTGTTGTCATACGTTTATTTTCAGTTCAGTTCAGTTAAGTTCAGCTCCTAATTTCCTTCTCTTATAAAATATTCATTTCAGTTCACTTCAGCTGAGTTCAGTCTATGAGAACAGACCCTAAAATGAGCTAATCTGAAATGAATTGTTTATGAGAGAAGGATATTAAGAACTGAACAAAACTGATTGGAGCTTAATTGAACTGAATTGAGTTGGAATGAAAATTAAGCTGAGCAGAACAGGCCCCAAATTGTCATTAACAATACCATTAGCTAAATCATATAAAACAGATAAATTAGCAAAAGGAACTGAATTGAGCTTAATTGATTGGAGCTGAACTGAACAAAACTGATCTGAATGAAGTTGAACTGAAATTAAGATAACAAAATAGACCCTCAATGTTTAAGTATCATTCGTAAATACCTTAATTCACTAAGCTATTTAGTGAACTCCACTTGGGCTTTATTTACGTTACTCTTTTGGACTTACTTTTCATTATTACAGTTAATTTAGTTCAGTTTAACTCCATTATTCAATTCATATTAGTTTAATCAAACTTTTAAGTTAAGGTAAGCTTAATCAGCTCTAATAAATTATAAAGAAATAAACTAAATTCGTTTACTTAATGACCTTGAATCACAAGGTCTCAAACTCAAGTTTCTCCACTAGATCGCATCAAGCATATAAGGAGTGTTATCTTCACTTTATATTTCTCACATACCCTTAACTCGTATTTTAATCAATAATTATCACGTTAATAGTGTAATTTGCTCGAGTGATACACTAAAAATCTAAAATACACATTCGGACATATGGAATATGGAACTCGAAAGCAGTGAAAATGACGTTAGTGAGACCTAACTAAGATTTAAGGAAGCATTTTTGCTATATAAAAAGGTTTGTCTGTTGTAATTCAAACATCAAAAAGATTAATAAAAGATGCTGAAACCCTGAAACCATGCAACCAACCAATTAAATGGCACATGTAAATAGTACTACTTCTACTAAACTTTTTTTACCAAGTTGTTAACACACAAAAACAGCTCTTTTCTGCCAGAACATGGGAAGATTTAGCTGTTTTTTGTTCTTTTAAATCCATACACTGGCGTCATTAGCGTCATCTTATGTTCTTATCTACTAATTAAATTATAATTTTCTTGTTTATGCATTAATCTCTCTTCTAAACTATAACGTTAATTCAATCGAGGATTATTATATGTCCTAATTCTTATGTGTTTGTACGATTTTGAATTTTGAAATGGAGACGATTTGAGGCAATGGTATAAGATTTTTTAAATGAAGTTTTATATAGCACTATTTTTTTTTTTTTGGTATATTACTAGTAAACTAATTAAGTACATTTGACTATATAGGAATTTAAAGAACATTGAGTAAACCCAATAAGCATATTTGAGAGTTATAATCCTGAATTTAGGGATCGACTCGGGTACTTTAATTTGACTAAAAATAATCTCTTTTTCATTGCCAAATAGAAAATGCTCCTTTAAAAAACTTCACTAATTTCCAAAGAAAAGTACTTTGCTTTTGAGTTTTTGATGGTGATTACCAACGTTTTACGGAAAAATTGAGGTTTAGCTACTCTACTTTCCTTACCTACACTTTTAACTTTTTTCAATAATTTGGAGGATGATGGGAATCTTAGCATGGATGTTTTGTTTGCTCAATGTAACCTTTGCCAATTGCCAACACTTGGCATGCCACAAATTTTTCTAGAAGGAAAGGGGGGTCTATGTTATTTAGCCGCGTTGTAAGGTGTTGGATTAGAGCAACTCCAGTGACAAGCTATTTTGACATGCCACAAATTTTTCTAGAAGGAAAGGAGTGTCTAACTGTCTATGTTGTTTAGCCGCATTGTAAGGTGTTGGGTTAGAGACTTAAAGCTACTCCAATGACAAGCTATTTATAAAATTAGCTTGTCATGCCATATAAGCTTTTAATCTAATTGTCATCTTAACTTCAATGGCTATCTAATAGCTTATTATTCAAATGGACCACACCTCCTTAATTTAAGTTGTTAAATTTCATTTATTTATTTATTTATTTTAATTTGTTTTATTTTAGCCAGTTTTTTTCCAAGCAAATTAGCTTGCCAAAGTTAATTTGTTTGGCCAAACTAATTGAATTTTCTAGATCCAATGGTTAAGCTAGTAGCTAGGGATTATTTAATGTTACAAGCAAGTGACTAACTACAACCATTGGAATTGCTCTTAAAATTCGCAACGAGCACAACCCTTGTGTAGTTATTTTTTTTTTGGTGCTTAGAGAGCCACAAGGGCGGGCAGTGGCGGAGCTAGGGTGGGTTCAAGTGGGTTCATTGAACCCACTGATTTTTTGAAAAAAAATTAAAAACTTTTTTAAAAAAAAAATCAAAATAGGTTTAAATAGAATATTTGTGTATTATATGACAACAAGTAAAGTTGTAGCCTAGTGGTTATTTTTACCTCCCATCACACAAGAGTTTGTGGGTTCAAAACCCATAACTCACACTTTTTTTTTTAATTTTGTTTCCTGAGCTTTCCCTGCTTCCAGCTTTCCTCTTCCTCATTCCCCCAAATTGCAAAACCCTAACTTCTTCCTCCTTCTCTTAATCTCTTCCCGTTCTTCCTCCTTCAGTCCTTCTCTTCCCGTTCTTCCTCCTTCTCTTCCCGGCGCAACACGGCAGCAGTC